TCATCTATTAGTGTGTTGTGCCAAATTTTTAATTTGGAGAGCAATTCTGCAGAAATGAACAGAAACTCCTCTCTAAACATTTTAATAAAAATAACCCCTCAAGCCAAAATGCAGTTGAGTGCATTGCTTTCTAGTAATTTCATTTGTACAATAGCTCCACAAGCTGTTTCTCTCTCCATATTCAGATAACCCTGGACTCTTGGGGGACTGTAAAAATGATATTTTAATAATGTGCCTCATCTGTGATCAGAAATACTTGGTGAAACGCTCTCATGATCATATGGCAGCAAGCTTCAAAGAACTGTTTTCCAGATTTAGGCAGGATCAATTTATTGCTTGTGGGAACTTTCACTGGCACATTTTGCAATATTGTCTGCAAGAAATCATACCTAAAGATGAGTGCTTAGAAAGAGGTCCAGCCTTTATTTCGGCTTTGAAGCTTTGCCAGCTAGCTCCCTTGGAACTTAGAGATCAGTGCTGCCCAACAGGAACATAATGCAAGCTGCATATGGCATTTAGATTTTTCTGATAGCCACGTTAAAAGTACAAAGACACACGTGAAATTAATTCTAATAATGCATTTTATGTAACACACTGTATCCACAGTGGTTATCATTTTATGTGTAATCAATATTAAAAACATTATTAATGAGATGTTTTTCATTCCCTCTTTTTTTTTTTTTGTATTAAGTCTTCAAAATCCACTGTGCATTTTACATTTACAACACATCTCAGTTCAAAGGAGTCACATTTCATAGGCTTAGGAGTCACTGTATTAGGTGGTATAGCCCTAAAGCAAAAGTCTCCTGAAAGGGAGGTTTGCAATTTTCTGCAGGTAGAAAAACCTGGGAGTCGTAATAAGAATGAATTCTCAGGCCCTATTCCTGATGCATCTGTAAGGATAGTGCTAAAGAATTTGCATTCTTTAAAAACAGGTCCCATTGCTGATGTTTTGCTTACCAAAATTCAAAAACATTTTTTTCAGGCTTCCTGTCCCCAGTTTTCTGATAGCTCTATAGCCAGCACCATCACAACCACCATACGCCCCACCACTGGTCCTACAGACAAGGAGACACAATCATATTGCCCACTTCCTTCTTTCATACATCCCTCAGCGCCCAATTGTATGCTGAGCCGAAGATATAGGTGAAGACCCTGGCCTGGGGAGCTTACTCTCTAATAGAGGAGGCAGACAATGAATAAGCAAAAGAGTGAGCAAGTGGCCTAATTTTTCCCATGGTGACAACTGCAGAGAAGAAAAGTCAAACAAGGATAGGAGACAGAGGGGCAGAGGGGTGTAGGTGTGGTGGTCAGAGTGGGGGCTCTGGAAGGAGGTGCAGACACTGAGGAAAAGGAGTCTGAGGAGAGCTCTGCAGAGAAGCTCTGTGGTGGGAACAGCAGGGAGGGCAGAGCCTGCTAGCAACGGGGAGGGAGAGGAGGGCCAGATCTGACAGCTCAGGGTCTGCATAGCCCTGCTGAGGTGTGTGGGAGTTCCCTGGGGGGTGGGGCTTCAGCAAGGGGAGGTGGCATAACATCCAATGGAGGTGGCTATGGAAATTGTTCAGGACAGCAAGAATGTTGGCCTAGGCAACAATGAAAGCTGTGGGGATGGTGAGATGGAGGGATGGCAATGGAGGAGCGGGGAATGGCCATAGATTGTAGGGCTGAAGAAGCTTGGAGATGATCACATGTGGTGAGAGGAAGAGGGAAGAGCAGAGCCCCTGGTGTTGGGCCTGAGCAGCCAGATATCCATGGGACATCTCCTGAGATGGTGCTCTGGTCTGAATGTTGGTGTCCTCCCAGAATTCATGCTGAAATCTCACCCCCAATGTAATGGGATTAAGAGGTGAGGCCTTTGAGATCAGTGCCTGCTATAGTTTGGATGCATGTTCCCTCCAAACTTCATGTTGAAATTGAATCCCCAGTGTGGAAGATGGGACCCACTTGGAGGTATTTTGTGTCATCGATAGATTAGGGCCTCCCTTGGGGCTGAGTGAGTTCTCACTCTGTTAGTTCCCTCCAGATGGAGGTGGGAGGTGTCATAAAGAGCAGGGCACCTTCCCTCTAGCTCTCTCTTGCTTTGGCGCTTGCCATCTGATCTCTGCACAAACTACTCTCCTTCCCCTCCTGCTATGAGTGGAAATAGCCTGAGGCCCTCAGCAGACACAGATGCCCAATCTTAAACTTCCCAGCCAACCAGAATAGTGAGTCAATTATACTTCTTTGAAATAAAGTACCCAGCTTCAGATATTCCTTCCTAGCATCACAGAAAGGACTAAGAAAGTGCCCCTAATAAAAGAGGCCCAAGGGAGCTCACTCCCCTTCCACCACCCCAGGATACAGCAAGAAGATGCTAGCAATGAACCAGAAATCAGGCCCTCACCAGACACTGAATCTGCCAGAAGCCACCATAAATGTGAGGTATAAATTTCTTTTGTTTTAAAAGCCACCAAGATTGTGGTGTTTTGTTAGAGAAGCCCTAGCTGGCAAAAAATGATGAGAAAGGCATGAGGTGAGGGGTAATTATCTCTCTGCAACCATGGAGATTCTCATTATGAAATAACCCTATTCTAGTCAAAATGAAGGCAAGAAAGGAGTTCACTTATTATATGCCTCACTTCATCTGCTCTCTCACTATGCCTTTTCCACAGGGGTAGAGAAAAGGTTAAGACGGTTCCCTGCCTGTCAGGGGGTGGAGGAAACCCCAGCCTACCTTCTTCATGAAATCCCCTAGCGGGTGTTTATGTGTAGAAATTTGCTCATACACACCTACATTCTACCCTGCTTCTGCCCCCAAGAACTCCCAACATCACATCCATTCAGTTCCTTTTGGTTCTTTGGAGACAGGAAGACTGGTGAGGCAGGGGGAATCCTGAAATGACCCTCCATACCCCTGTAAGACGCCCTCCTCTGGAGTGTGAGCAGGACCTGGAACATGACTTTTCTCCCTTCATCAGCTTATGGTGTGAGGCAAAGGTGAAGGGACCTGATAGATGTAATTAAGGCCCTAATCAGTTGACTTTGAGCTCACTGTGGGTGGGCCTGGCCTCCTCAGGTCAGCCTTTACAAGGGAGTCTACTGGTCACAAAAAAAAAAAGAAGCACCAGTGATGCTCCTCTGCTGGCCTTAAAGACATAAATGGCTGTGTTGCAGAGAAGGCTGTGTCAGCAAAAACTCTTCTAGGAGCTGCAGGCTGTGGGCTTTAGTCCTACAACTGCAAAGCACTGAGTTCTACCAACAACCTGTGAGCCTCAAAGAGCATCCTGAGCTTTAGCTGAGATTGCTGCTCTGGCTGACACCTGGTTGCAAACTGATGTGACCATGAGAAGAGGACCCTGCTAGGCCATGAGGATCTCTGATTCATGAAAACTGTCAGATAACAAATTGCATATTGTTTGGGGCCCCTAAGTTTGCAGGAATTTGTTATACCATAGAAGATAACTAGTACATTAATATAATAATTATGGCTGACTTTTATTCAGCACTCATGTGTTCAACATTTTCAATGGCTTTATCTCATTATTCATCACAATGACCCCATGAGCTTGGCATTATTATTATCCAAATTTAACACATGCAAAAACAGAGGTTCAGAGAGAAATCTCAGAACTGAGGGAGGCTGCAGCAGGGATTCAGCCCCATGTCTGGAACTCTGAAGACAGGGAGTTTGACATTACACAGTGCTGCCTCCAATGGGCAGGGGCCAAGGAGCTCCACACCTGAGACCCTCCTCTTTATAATTATGACATCCACTCTACTCCGCCCCCTTCGTGCCCTCAGCCACCCACTCTTTCCACCCCTGCATCCCACCAAACAATGGGCCATCTCATCTCTTCCTTTCTTTGCCCTCTGGAGTTAGGGTGCCCATGGTCAGTTTGGACAGCTGGGGAGCTAGAGTCCCAGGCTCCACTGGGCATTTTGTGGCCTAGCCCACTCCTGGGGTGATTGATTCATCCTAGTTTCCCCAGTTTCAAAACTGAAAGCCCCATATCCCAGGAAACCTCTCAGTCCCAGGAAAATTGGGATGATTGATCACCCTACCACTTCCAAACCAAGCCCAGATGTGTGAGCCCTGGAGGATTCCTCGATCCTGAACTTGCCATGCTTTCTCTATCACCAAGAAGAAAAAGAAATACCCAGCTTGCTCTGCTCTCTAGAGAGAGTTCAGAAAGAGATGACTGTCCCAGGAGGGGCTTCAGCCCGGACCATCAGACAGGCCTGGGAATCCTGGTCCATTTGGGGCCTTTCCTTTGACTTAAGCAATCCTTCTGCCTGAAGAGCACATGAGGTGCCCTGACCCAGAGCTCAGATTGTGCTCCATCAGCTCTACTCCCGAGAGGAGCAACTCAGGGAGAGCTGGAGGAAGTTCTACATCCTTCCTAATGTTGTGATTATAAAGGGGACCCACCTCCTGCTGGTGGCCTCCCTTGAGAGCTCAGTCCTAATGATGTTGACTCCCCTGTGAGAAGAGTCTGGCTTCTCTGTCGGGTGTCCTGGATACTCTTGACTATACCCTGCCATCTTCCAAATTGTGCTCTTTGTGCCAAGTGGCACCCAGTGTGACAGCAGTTGAATCACTGCAAATCTGTCCACAATATCAGAAGGGTTCAAATCACATATTTAATTAAATATAGCCAAGGGTGATTCATGAACTCCTTTGTTCATTCATTCATTCATTTAACTAGCATTTGGGAACAGCTATCATAGGCCTGGTAGTATCTTAGGCTTTCACAGAGAATTGCAGCACATTTTAAACTGTGAGAGATGGTAAGTGCTAGGCACGATGCTAGCATATAAAGATACCAACCTAATCCATGTGGGCGTAGCTGGTGGGGTGTGGGGAGCAGTGCAGGTCTGTGACAGATCTATAAGGGATTTGTCCATAAGAAAGATAGTATTTTTTATTATCATCATTTATATTGAGGAAAACAAACTACACAGTTGCCTGTGACTCTGAGATACACCCACAATAACCTCGAAACCCACAAACCACTCAACCATCAGCCTAAAACGTGTCTTTGCATTTTATTTTAGGAAAACATAAATCTGGTCACAAAATATCTTCAGAGAGCAAGATAAGCCACGAAACATACAGAACAGATCTGAATAACAAGTCTGGGGCCACGGCTATGTTCAGGGGGCGGAGCTGACACGAAATTATCTTCTTCCCGGACGAGCAAGGTTAACCCGAGCTGCACAGCCCAGATGGTCATGAGATTTACAGCTATCTAAAGGGGCGCAGAATCCTTTCAAGGGTTGAGTTATGATGACTTCTAGGTATTGATTAAATGAGAACACCAACCCGGTATGCAGCAGAGCGTTAGGGAATGAGGAGCAGAGGGGAGATGGTGGTGGTGATCGCCTTTATGTAGTTTTCAAAGTCACTTCCAAAAAGAAGGATGAGGTAATAGTTGAATATCCCAGCCAGGGACATGAGGAACAGGAACAGTATGATGCGTTTCCCAAATATGTAGCCAGGGGTGCTGGAAAAGAAGGAAATAGAAAACTGTAGACCCAGCACAAATGACACCAATTTCAAAAAAAAAAAAAAGTGAAATTTTAGACACATGGGGTTTAAATTATAGCTTCTTATACGCGACAATGCTCCATTTACCATTTACTTCATAGGAAGGATGGAAGTATCTTAGCTATTATTAGTCATCGAACATATTTCAAAACCAAGCTAAAAAGCCTGGACCTCGAAACCCATCACCGTTTGGGCTCTGCTGTACCAGTTTCTCTGCACTCTCCAATTTCTTCACTCCAATTTCCCCATGATGGCCTGAGAGCCGCAGGTTCTGCTGGTCACCAGGCATTCTGACTGAGGGTTAGGACCCTCCCCCAGCTGCCCCTCTGAAGGAGTGCTTACAGGGCCTACACTGGTGTCTGTGTGTATAACGCAGGACTGTTAGAAGCCAGAGCTTAAATGAGCTGATAAAGCTGGTGGAATCTAAAAGGTCCTTAAGCATCTGAGACTTTAACCTACTGAGACTGCTGGGAATAGCTCGTGTTTGTATCCATGAGACCTGGGCAAGCCAGCTGTGGAAGACAGGCCTCTACACTTTTGAGGGGAGGGAAAGAAACTTTTAAAATATATTTATATCCTTCTCTCAAAGGCTCTAAATCCTGAGCCGCTTGGGCAGACCACCAGCTGGGGGCAGGAGGCGTTTCCCCAGTTGGATGGGGCCGCCTGTTTGCACGCAGAGGCTGCCCTGGTTTGTACCTCTCCTTTGCAGAACACTCTTCCCACTATGTAGCTGGGCCTGTCTCATTGGCACTGAAAATCAAATGACCATTCAGCTGCTGAATGCTGAATCCTGTTTCTTTTCTTT